AACCAGGCCTCTGCCGTCGCCGCCACTGGCCCGACCCAACATACACCACCCTCCCCACCCCATTCCCCTCCACCACCACCACCACCAACAGTACCCCCTCCTCCCCCTCCTCCACCACCTCCACCACCTCCACATCAACATCAACCACCTCCCTCAACACCAAAATACACGGCTACACCTGCACCGTCCTCGTCAACAACCGCAGCTACCAAACCGACAGCATCTGCGAGACGGAGACCCGGGCGCAAGAAAACGCCGCTATGCGGGCGTATCTCATTTGTCGGAATTTCTCGGTGAATGATGGGATGTATCCGGTCGGGGTGGATCATGGGGGGGTCGTGCAGGGCGTGCCGGTTGCGATTGGGGTGGGGAGGGGGAGGAAGTTTGTTGAGTATCAGGGGGATAGGGAGGAGGATGGGGGGAGGGATGGGAGGGGGGGGGGGAGGGTTTTGGCGCTGGGGAGGTAGATGGGAATACTATTTAGGGGGGGGATGGACGGGCCATGATGATATGATTTATGATGATTGAGATGGATTGGATGATGATGATGATGATATGCGACATACCATTTATATTATATACCATAGCTGAGGGGGAGGTAAGGATTGATATAGATTGAATTGTGCCTTTTTTTGTTCTTCTTCTATATTTCGTAGTCTAGGAGTCCGATTTAATAGTACGGGTTGGTTCTAGGTGTGATGATGGGATGGATCAGATTCTAGGGTATGGCTATTCGAAGCATTGTATGGATCTCATAGTCTGGGTGACCCTGATGAAGTATTAATCCAACTATCACATACACACATATCAACAACTCTTTCGTAACATTAGAAATAGCACTAAGCATGACGGTAGTCGAGCAGTGGAATCAACAGACACCAATCGTCCATTCAGTCTCAGAGTAGCTACACTGGCATAAACTACAAAACCAACCCACCCCCATCCACCACCAGATCCGCCCCATTAATATAACTCGCCGCACCACTCACCAACAGCACCACCGCCCCCGTCAACTCCGCCGGTACCCCCATCCGCCCACTCGGATTCCGCGCCGCCCACACCCTCCGATGTTCCGCGATCCCATCCCCCTCATTCAAAATCGTATCCATATACCCCGGACTGATACTATTCGTTCGAATGCCATACCGCGCCCACTCGGCCGCTAGGCAATTCTTCAGCATTAGCACGCCCGCCTTACTCACATTGTATGCAGCCTGAGGCTGGGGATAGTTGACTCGGTGCGCGGAGATAGAGGCGATGAAGGTGATAGAGCCACCAGTTCCCTGCGCGACCATTCGTCGGGCCGCAGCTTGTGCGCAGATGAATGAGCCTGTGGTGTTTACGTCAATGACATTGCGCCACTGGCTCACTGGCATGTCCAGTGTTTCCACGCAGCCGACGATCCCGACGAAGCAGATGAGGGCATCGATGGAGCCGAGGGTCTGAGTGGTGGTGTCCATTGCGGCGTTGACGGCGACTTCGTCGGTGACGTCGACTTGGAGGGTGGTGATTTTGGCGTGGGGGAATTTCTTTTGGAGTTCGGTGATTTTGGTTCCTGCGTGCGTGGGGTTCGCGTCGAGGATCATTAGTCCGTTTAGGCCGTGCTCGAGAAGCGCTTCGCAGGATTGTAATCCGAGAGTGCCCGCTCCGCCGGTGACGACTGCGTTGCCTTGGACGGTGAAGCGGTTTTGGGCGCGCTTGGTGGTGTCGCTTTCTAAGCTGGGTTGCGGGGGTGGGGTCATGGAGGAGGGACTGCCATCGCTGAAGATCATGCTAGGAACGACTCGAGAGGCGAGGGCATCACGGCTTGGTAACTCGGCTGAGGGCGACATTGTGATGATAGTGTTGAAAAGATGAGATACGATTCTGGGATTATTCAAGGTGGATGATCAAACGGCCTTATATGTACCGTTTCGATGAATCACCTTTCGTTCTAGCTTTAGTCCGGATGACTTCATCCCGCTGCGTGTCGGCGCATTGTCCGCCGATTGTATATCCTGCAACATCGGCACACAGCGCACCGTCATCTAGATAACTCCATATTGACCTTACGAAGCCCCAGACTAGACCCCAGACCCCATGCCCGGTAGTGGCTTGGTCAGTAGATGTGCTACTTTGTGCGGAGAACCCATATATACCCTCGGGCCTCCGCCTGCATTGCAGGCAATTGCTCATGCAGCATACTCTTCACTCAGTTATCCTGCCTGAATAGATCTGACTTCAACATGGTTGCGATTAGCAATAGTCCGTCGACGTTAGGATTAGAGACTACTTATGGCCCAGCTGGTAGGCCTGTCGATAGGCCAGCAGTCGATTATACGTCCTCATGCTGATCAGACGGTCAGAATACAAGGGCCTCGTGCATAACTCATTCTTGCTGTTCCTGTCCACATTTGCGAGCATCGGAGGTGTTCTATATGGGTATGTCTTTCATATAATCCCTCCGGCAGGATTAACATGTGCAGATATGATCAAGGAGTCATCAGTGGGGTTCTGGTGATGGCCAGCTTTGCCAGTTCGTCTTTCACAAATTGACATCCTGCTAATCTGCGTAGGGCAGAGAATTCCCCTCGTTGCCCAACAACTCGACACTCCAAGGGTGGATGGTTTCCGTCCTCATCTTGGGTGCCATGTTTGGTACCCTCGCCAATGGCCCCATCGCCGATCGTCTCTCTCGTCGCTGGCGCTGCAGTGTCTCTTCTCATTGATCCTTGCCGTCGGGACCTTTTTTCCTGCCGTATACGCCCCGGTGGCTGATGATGAAAGGTAGGAGATATGAACGGTTGTATACATCAAACTAACCTGGACAGATCGCGAGGACGAAGCAATCTCAACACAGTCTCGTCTTCGTCGGGTCCATAGCAGCGATAGCTGCATCATGAACGAGGTGCTCGGAATCAAGGTATCGGTGCTTTTTGACAAAGCTACCACCGCGGCCATGTTTCCTGGCATCACCTCTCCCGTCCGGTTGAGCTATGAAAGATACAAATCCTTGTTTGTTTCTTGTCATCTCAACCGCCGGTTACTGACTGCCTGCGCACTTCAGCTAATTCAGCAGTTTACAGGTAAGTCTCCAGCCCATGTGGTCAACCGGCTAACCTAGCAGGTATCAACGCGATCATTTACTATGCACCGCGGATCTTTGAAGATATTGGCCTCTCCGGCAACTCCGTGGATCTCTTGGCCACAGGAGTCATCGGGATCCTCAGCTTCCTCTGTACCGTCCCGGCATTCATGTTCATGGATCGCTGGGGTCGCAGAACGGTCCTCATCGTGGGTGGCATAGGCATGGGTATCTCCCAGCTCATTGTGGCTACACTGTATGCGGTGTACGAGCACTCCTGGGCCAGCCACCGGGGGGCAGGATGGGCCACGGCTGTCTTTGTCTGGATATAAATCTGCAATCTTGCCTTTAGCATTGGCTGCGTCAACTGGGTGATTCCCTCTGAGATATTTCCGCCGGGGGTGCGGTCACAGGCGGTTGGAATAGCCATTGGCGTAAACTGACTGAGCAATGTAAATCTGGCACAATTGACTGGGTACTTATTCTGATCGTCATAGTTCATCGTCGCACTCATCACTCCGAAGATGCTAGATACCTTCACGTTTGGGTCATTTTACCTTTATCTTGGTGAGCACCTCACTCGGCTTTCTGGTATAGGCAGCAAGCTGACCAGTAAGCATTCTGTGTCTTTCTCATGTTCTGGGTGTATTTCGCTCTCCCGGAAACCAAAGGCGTTCCAATCGAATAAATGGACAGGATTTTCGGTGGGAACCAGGGTGAACAAGACACGATCCGGATGGCAAGCATCCGACACCAGCTTGAGATTGGAGAAGTTGGTGCTGGCAAAGATGATTCCGGTGGCTATGTTGAAGAGGTCGAGGATCATGACTGGACGGTGTGACCACCAACGAAGGAATGTTTGCATGAGATTTGTACGGTTTGGAGATAGGGCTGGTGATTTGCAGTGTTGAGTCGTGATATTCTGTAGTGGCCTGTCATCCGACGAAACAAAGAGCCGACCTCCATTGGTTGGCCATGTACATACCAGATGCATGCTTCATTGCCAGCTGCTGATCGACGGCAAAGCACCTCTCCGGGTATTGTTAGTGAATAACCGCATCCTCGGTCCCTCGGGCTTGTTGAATGAATGAGTATGCATCGGACCCCAGACGCCCGACTGGCCACCACAAAGCGCAAATGATCGATCGGGGGACAGCAAGCCGGTCCGACGTCTTCATAGTTGCTCTTTTCCATCCCAACGGGCTATAAATACCTCTTGGAAACCTCATTGACATACCACCACAAGCCAATCAATCGTTCACAATGTCAATGACCGTGTCTGACTGCACCCAAGTCCGGCCGGGATTTCCCCGTCCTTCTCCGGACACACCCTCCAATGTGTTGGAGCAATTCAAGATGTCAGGCAAGGTGGTGGTGGTGACCGGGGCGGCGGATGGTATTGGCCATGCTGTTTCAGAGGCCATGGCAGAGGCTGGTGCCAATGTGGCCATGTGGTATAATTCGTGAGTCTCTGTCCACTTGCAAGCGGCATTAGCCAGATCAATTCTTAACTAATAGAAAGGAATGATGTGGCTGTCAAAAAGGCCGAGCTGCTGGCGCAGGCCCACGGGATCAAAGCCGTCCCATATAAAGTTGACAGTTAGTGGCACCATCCCGACTAAACACCAGGCTAACTTGACATGCAGTCTCCGACTCTGAACAAAGTGAAGAAAGCCATTGAAGAGGTCGTTCGTGACTTTGGACGAATCGATGTCTTCATTGCCAACGCGGGTACGTCCATCGCCTCATCTAACCACAGACCCTAACAGAGCTAGGAATGGCGATATCCAAACCAATCCTAGAGCAAAAGCTAGACGAATATCGCAAACAAATGTCCGTCAATGGTAAGCACCGCCCACAGCGTATCTCCATTTCAGACCTGCTAATCTCTCAGTCGATGGCGTCGTCTTCTGCGCCAAATACGCCGGCGAGGTCTTCCAGTGTCAAGGCAGCGGCAACCTCATCATCACATCTAGTATGAGTGCGCACATTGTCAATGTTCCAACTGACCAACCTGTCTACAATGCAACCAAGGCATATGTCACCCATTTCGGAAAGTCCTTGGCTCAGGAGTGGCGGGAATTCGCACGGGTCAATATCGTCTCTCCGGGATTTTTTGATACTAAGATGGGGGCAAGCCCTTTGGCAATCAATGAGGCGTACCGGATGGCAGCGCTGGGACGCCAGGGTCATACCAAGGAGATCAAGGGGCTATATTTGTATCTGGCCAGTGATGCTTCCACGTATACGACGGGAAGTGATGTGCTGATGATGGAGGGTATACCCTTCCTTGATATGACATAGATCGATTGGATAGAATGTGTTCCTGAGTGTTCCTGAAAGCTTATTAGTTCTCTGTTCCGGTTGATGTCAGCAATCGCCTAAACTCGAGAGAACGGCTGAGGTAAGTAGGTGAGTAGACCGTACGGAGTAAGCTTTGCAGATATTCATAAGTAAGGGCATCGATAGATCGTCCCAGATGACGGCGTCATTGACACAACGTCATCACCATCATGCCACCTTATCAGTAACTCTTATCAGCTTCATCTAACCCAATGATCGTATAGAACACTTAGAAGTCTGCACCACAGCGACTCAACGCCGCAGGAGAATCTCACTTCAACGGAACAATAGAGTAAAACACAAGCAAGGAGCCAGCCAACACAACGGCAACAAACCAGCCCGATCAGGTGACGCCCGCCTACACCACCACCAATACTATGTACTCCCTATCCAAGCAACCAATCCCACCGTATTGCGTATCCCATCCCCATGATCCCCATAAATTCTCCATTCAAACCACCTCCAATGACCCAACAACAACATCATCATCATCACCATGCTTAATATCCGAACTATACGCATGCGTGTCCCCCACACACCACCCCGCTGACTCATCATGACGTATCCCATGTTCCAAGGTCTCTCTCTCTCTCTCCCCTCTCTCTCAGTCTCTCTGTACATTTGTGAACAAGCTAATAAATCCTTCTCATAGATCTGTACTAATCATCCCTCTCGAAATACCTCAGCGCAATACTATATCCGAAACCTTCCCTCCGCAGGCAATTGAACACTTAACGTCGAATATATACATGTCCGCCGCGCAAACCACTCAATGACCGCACCATGCGGTCCATTCTACGTCGTGTACCGAATACAATTCCGCCTTTGCGGGGTGGAGGGTCGAGCAGAGTGGCATTCCTGAGTGCTTGTCCGGGGAGAACAACTCTGAGCGGGAGGTATACCAGCCATATCCGTATCGGTGGCGGCGTGGGGAATAGTTACATGCCGCTCGACCGGAGGGGGTTTTCTGAAAGTAGATGGATACGGGAGGATAAGAAGAATGATACTGAGACGAAGGAGCAGTTGGAGAGGTTACGGTTGAGGGAGAAATCTGGGGAGGAAGAAGAGGGTATGGAGGGGGAGGGAGAGAGGGAGGGAGGAGAGAAGGGATTGGAGGATGCGATGACCAAGGGTGAGTTTAGCTTTCTATCTGAAGTATACATGTGCTTTGATAGGGTGGAATTAACTAAGAAGTTTATAGGAAAGCTACTGACCACGCCATCGAGACTATTCAAGCTACTCCTCCCCTTATCAACAGGCTATCATCGCGAACACAAAGGTATGTATACCCATCTACACGATGAGCACGTGTATACTGAACAAAAGCAGACATCGAACCCATCGCCATCCTCGTCCACCCCCAACAGCCCCTCTCCCACCTCGAACGACTCATCCAATCCGAACTCCCCCCTCTCAAGACCCCCTCAAACCAAACCCGCTCCCCCACCGTCTCCTTCATCGCGCAACAAATCGAAGACCAGCCCCCCCGGCCCCGCAAGGCCCTCTACGAAGGCACCAGCGCCGAAGTCCACCAACTCGACGAACTAGGCCGAATCGACGACGGGGAAGGCAAACGCGCCCCCACCGAAGACGACACCTACACGTACCTCCGCCGGACCAAACCCCAAAACCACAACCAGGACCAAAGCCTGGAGCAACGCTTCGTCCGGTGGTCCCAATCGACCGAAATCGGGGACTTCATCCGCGACGCCGCCCGCGCCCGCGAATTCATCGTCTCCATCGAAGGCGCGCCCTCCGGGCTACACCAAATCCGGGTCGCGGTCCCCTCGTTCGACGAACGCACCTACTTCCTACGCATGCGACTCCGCAAAATCGCCAGCCGAATCCAAGTGATCGCGGAGATCAAGCACGAATGCGATGCGTTAGCGCACCGGGGCGCGCAGCGGGTGGCGGTGGGCGGGTTCGGGATTCTCGCGGTGTGGTGGTATCTCGTGTACAAGTTGACGTTTGAGACGGAGTTGGGGTGGGATACGATGGAGCCGGTGACGTATTTGGTGAGTTTGTCGACGTTGATGGGAGGGTATTTGTGGTTTTTGTACCATAATCGGGAGATTTCGTATCGGTCGGCGTTGGATTTTACGATTAATGCGCGGCAGAAGAAGCTGTATCAGGATAAAGGGGTGGATTTGCATCTGTGGGAGTCGTTGATTGATGAGGGGAATACGCTGCGCAAGGAGATTAAGAGTATTGCGGCGGAGTATGATGTTGAGTGGGATGAGATGAAGGATGAGAGGGATGAGAGGGTGGCCGAGGCGTTGAAGCAGGAGAGGACGCAGAAGAATGGCTCCAATAGGGATCGCGATGAGGATGAGGGAGATGATTAGTACTACTACAGTTATATCACACGCCGTCGCCAATTCCTCAACCACCACGGCCTCATCACTGACACACACCACATTCAGTCAGCGTCATCCATTCCGAACCGGATCATAATACTCCTTCTTCCCACTACTACCAGCAGTCGCATTGACAGTATCATCTCCTTGTCTCGACGACGGCGACGTCTGCGGCGACTTGGACCCTATACATAGCAGTTAGTTAGACCTGTACAGTAGCATACTATCCACCTGTATATCCTTCAACCACACCCAGCCACAAGACAAGAAACAACAGGAAAGAAGATATACATACCCTCCTCCGCAACTCCCACCCCCAACCCCGTCCCATTCATATTTCCATTGCCATTCCCACTCACACAATTCCCTCCCCTCCTTCGATTCCGATTATTCCTAACATCCCGAGATCGAAACACACTATACAGCAACCACCCGGCGACCCAATTCGGCGCATACTCGCCAGTGGTCTGACCCCTCGCAAACAATTGCCGGGTCAGCGGCCCCGCATTGTGCGCAATCTCCGTGATGGCCCAGCGTTGGCGATCCGGACGGATATGGTGCCAGAAGTATGGGGGTTTGGTGGTGGGTTGTTCGAGGAGAATGCTTTCGAGGAGGTTGGAGGGGTCTTCATTGAGGTGGTTGTAGGTGGATATTGCCTCGTCCTGTTTCTCTTTGGTTATTATCGTGCTGCGAGGATGGGGATGGGGAAGGGGACGCACTCGCATTGCGCGGTAGTATTGCTCGTGTTGGGGGTTATGAGTCGAGAGGCCTAGGGCCGCCATGAATTCTTCTTTAGAAGCGCGGGGGGAGACGGGCATTTCTTCTTGCTTTCCTCTTTGCCTCTGTCTTTGGGACGTTCTTGGTTGCGGGGGTGATTAGTTGGGCTAATGAGTATTTGGGAAGAGGTATACAACGATGAGATAGGAGGCAGTCAGGATATATGTACTATCACGCCATCCGAAGGGATTCAGGGGATGATCTCGTCGGCCGTCTCAGACACAGTCGCACAGCCGTGAGGGCTTGATGTAGACGACAGTGCTTATTCCGGATCAGCAAACCGCTGGGGATGGAGACTGCAGATGAGAGATGGGATGAAGGCAGAAAGACCATGGTTGATCCCACCTGATTGGATGGCAGGTCAGAATTGCAGGATACTATCGTGTGTAGACCTGCTCCATCCGGCAACCAACGGCTGCACAGCCGTTGCCGGTCACGGAATCAATCCGTGAGACTAAGACCCCCTCCTTCTTCATGTCATCAGATCCACTGCACGCAAAGCAGGTAAACGAAAGCCCTCCCGCCGTCCCACTCGCAACGACGAGTGCATGTAAGTAGCCGATGTTGAGATGTCCCGATAGACGAGAATCACCATTGTCTGATCCGGTCGACGGGTCTGTCTGACCGCACGAACAGGGGCTCTTGAATCATGATATCTGATGGATGAAGTGTAGGCACGGAATGCAACCAGGGAGTCGATGTAACCTGTACTGTCTGTCCCGGTTCGGATGAGAGGGTCGTACACACGACACAAGAAGGGAGCGGGGAAGCTAGATGGAACTGTTTTCCTGTTTTCGCGCCAGGATGAGGGCATAGAAACCCAAGTCATCTACCAAATCCAATATCATTCCCATCGCCCACTCCCAACCGTCTGCCGTGCGACAAAGCGATCCCATTCCGCCAAATTCACGTCAATTCGACTTCAGCCATGAGCTTCTAGGTGTGGCTAACCCTAGCCTGGCTGGGGACGCCCCGCCAACGGATAGCAAACGCCCCGGTCTGGTTTGCAAGGCCCCGTGTCGATCCCTCCCTCAGCCCGTCCTTTTCCTCGTCCCAGGGAATTATATCAAGGCGGGGCCGCCGACTCGTTTGCCAGCTTCGAACATACTCGGGGGTCTTTCAGTGCCAGTCGTTTGTAGGTGAAAGAAGAAACTTCGAACGTCGTCGCGACCCAAAACAGCGGTCGACACTCGTGGATTCCAGAGGCCCGTCGACCTCATCTCCCAACGTTGCTCAGCCTGGTCCCTGTGTAAAGGCGCCAGTGAGGCAACGGTTGTACATACTCCAGTATGTCCGACAAGCCACGGCGGAACTCCGTCTCGCAGCCCGCAACCGCGCCCGGCAGTCTGTCCCAGCAGTCTGCCCCAGTCCGGTTGGACCCGATAAAGTCGACTCAACTACCACCTACTACATTATAATGATCTAGGGTCTGGCGAGGGGTCGGCGACCCCCAGCGACTTTCATCCGTCGGCTCAGCGTCAGGGACTGCCGTCCAAGCACGCCCGGCCCCTGCCCAGCCGACGACTACCCGATCATGCCACCAGGCAATGTGCAAGCGACATCCGTCAAGGGGTCCCTCGCAACTAGGCTCGCCCAAGGCAGGGCGACAAGAATCATATCATCTACCTCTGTTCTGTTTCTTCATATCCCCTTGGTTCATGGTTCATACAGGTCTAGGAACAAACACCCCGGCCAAGACAAGGGGGCAAGGAAACCAACCTCCTCCCCCCCTCGCGGCCTGGTGGCTCCCCTTCATATATCCGCAGTCTTAAAGAGTAGCTGGTGGTGTTTGCGGTCACTGGGTGATTTCGATTGCATTGGTCTTGGGCGGAGCGTGTGGCCTCGCCCTCAGCGTTTATTCAGTTAACTGACAGAGAACCCTCGCCTGCTTCTACCTTGCCCGTTCTCTTTCTGTTCATCCTAAATTCAAGAAGAGGTCGCGGTTTCACCATAGTACTTGCGTAGGAATGCTTCTACTTCTTTGTAGTCCACCTTGACCTGCGTCAGGGTCTTCTCGATGCGCGAGAGTGAGGTCTTCTTATCCGGTTCATCCGTCGAACCGGTCTCGTCCTTGCCGGCGCCGTAGTGCTGAATCTTCTCGCAGGCATCCTTGACCTTGATAAGTCCCAGAGTGGCTGACGATCCTTTCAGGTAGTGTCCCAGAGAAGACAGCTCGTTCAGCTCTTCCTCCTTCCTAGAGGCCGGTTAGCACGAGAACGGGCGGCAGACACCAGGGAATACTTACAAAGCCTTCTCCATCTTGTCAAATGTGCTCTCTGCCTGGTCGAAGAAGCCGTACACGATGCCCTTGCTGAAGTCGTTGTCCCCCTCATCGTCCATTTCGAGAATCTGCTCGAATGTGGTCTGGTCGATGCTCTCACTCATCTCCGCCAGTGTAGACGGGATCGGCTTGGTCTCCTTGGGCTTAGGGACATCAGCGTCAGCCTTGGCATCAGCCGGCGGCACCGCGACACGTACAGGCTCCTCCACAGTCTTCGTGGTGGTGGTGGGCGCCATGACGATATGATACGGGGGGTGTTTCTCGGGTTCTAGATCAGGTTTCAAGGGTCGTTCGATGTAGGAGCAAACGCTCGAGACCACCAGAAGTCAATAGCTTTGACTAGGCTGTGGATTCGGACTCTGTGGATCAATCTAGCCGGCTATCCCTCAGGTCCAAGCCGTAAAGCACCGAACACGGTATACTGAGAATTACACGGAACGAATCTGCAGGCCAATCCCATGTCAGCTGGTGAACACGAATCGCGCGGCGACGTTACTGCTCGACTCGATCGCGGTGGTGCCCTACGCAATAGGGGTATTACGGTCCAGCCCAGGACAAAGACAGAAGATCAGGAGATATACAGTAGAGGGAACAATAATGCAGACACACACGGGACTGAAGAGACCGTTGGTCTCTTGGATGGTTGCGTTGTGAGAGATCAAAGAGGATGGATGGGGGAAAGGGAAGAGGAGCGTGTTTGCGGGGGAGGGGGAGGGGAAAGAAGAGGGATCAAAAGAAACACACAAGAGGTCTAGCTATGCGAGGCTGAGGATGAGATGAAATTGTTTCAACCAGGATCTTCCTGCCACCAAGGGATGGGGGTATCAGTGGGAATCCGTGAGGCTGGGAGGGAAGAAGAAGAAAAGGCGCGGGCAAGGCAGCGGGGAGATGGGAAGCACAGATATCCATCATCCACCGCCGCACACCAGATGGATCCACATGGGACGAGCAAAGGAACAGCTGTCTGGATCAGGAGGGACGAGGGGGAGGGGCAGTGATTGACCGAGGGCAGCATGAACCGAGCAATGAGCCAGCAGCACTAAACAAGCAGCACACGGGGGATTTCCCACCTGGAACCGTTCCGTCGACCACAGCGAAAGCTGAAACTGCCTGGGTATATGAACAAAGTATGGCAGCTCAGCGGAAGTGGAATCGCCAAATTAAACTTAGATTAACGGCCCCCGACGATAAGGCGAGTGAAGGCTGAAGGGCGAGGGTGAGGCGAGTGGATGCCAAAGGATAATTCCCGATTAGGACAAGTGACTAAAATTAAAGACGATGGAGGCGTGGAAGGGAAAAACTGGATAGGGGAGAGTGGGAGTGGAAATGGAAGTGGAAGTGGGAGGAGGAAGAATGGATGGATGGATGGAGGAGAGGAGAGGAGGAAAGAGGATGAGGTAAAAGGAAGGGAAATGACGATGCTGATGGCCTGGTGTGTGTGTGAACCTCTGCTCTCCTTTCCTTTTCGGCCCTTTTTCTTTTATTTTTTCGCTTTTACCTTTTTTTCCCCTCTCCCTCTGATTTATTATTTTTATCGTTCTTTTTTTTTCACTTAATATTTTTTTTTCTGGTTAGGCGCGCGCCGTCAAGAGGAACCAGAAAGTGGAGGGGAACGAAAAGAGGAGGGGAGGAAGTGGGCTGGATGGATGGGCGGGCAGCCGATAAACAGATAGCAGGTCAATCAAATCAAGACCCAACTAGAGGTAAGGTACGGCCTGACCAAGCTGTACCTACTTTACTTACTATTACTTGGGTGTAAAGTCAGATGGAAGTACTAGTCAGTAGCAGGAGGTTGGTTCACTGCTGGATCAATCCCGCCAATCCCCGTTGCAACAATGAGGGGCACTGGATGGGATGAAAGAGGTGACCTCACCGCACTGGTCCCCTCCCTTTCGCCTTTAGTCACCGTCAGGGAGATTTATGATTAGGATTTTAGGCGCTATTTCGGGAGGAATAATACAGTGGGCCAGTCCTTCTGGGACGAACCGAGGGGGTTCAACAAGAGGATAGAAAGTAATCAAAGAATTCAGGCGAGGGCCTCAAGTGACAGGCCAAGATTCATGGGAGGCGGTCAGTTCATTGGACACCGGCACGGTGGGCTGCAGCAGTCATAGTAGTCCAGCCCGGAGGCACGGAAGAAATTGATGGGAGCTTACCACCCGTCGTGGTGGGGAAGAACAATATTGCAGAGCAATGATGATCAGTCGCCAGCAGAAAGCGCAAGAGGGGGAAACATGAGAGAAAAGGGAGGGCGGGCCTACCAGCATTTTAAGCAACCGATGACGGGATCCTCTGGCGTCATCCCAAGTCGCGTTTCGTCGCTGGTTGATCCTATTCCAAATTCCCTTATTTAAGCCGCATAGAAGTACTATCGCCCATATTTCCTTTTAGACCTACATCTAGTCACAAGTTTGCGCTTTCCAGATCCGAGCCGATGGTGCGTTCTCGCCCGGGGGGTCAGAATTCTCTGGGAAAAAAAGCCTCAAAATATCCAGGTCAAACATCCCACCGGTGCGAGGGCCGCTGATTGGTCTGTTCCGTGTGGAGAAGGCGACACCAGAAGAAAAAGGGTTAAAAAGGGAAAGGGCAAACACCCCCCCCATTCCATCACAGTTCGCCAGGTTGAACAATACTGTCTGGGTATTGTAGTGTTTGCGCGTCTGGACGATCCGGTCGCTTGTCCTCCTCCAAAGGGAATTTCGCATCCCCCTCCTGTCGCGTATCTTATTACTTCCCTTACAAAGGATTTGTACCGACGCCCTATCCTCGGGCCAAAAAGGGAGCCAATCCTACCTCCACCCTGGATGATGCACGCTGAGATCATAGGACCACAACTGACGTAGGGTGTCCGCCCTCGAATTTAATCAGTCGGCCATAGGCGTCGATCCCCACCACCGCACCACCCTCAGTCTCTGAACCGTCAACCCGACGTCGCCATCACCACCTGCACGTGGAATGGGAACTCGTCCCTTCGCCGTGCATGTCTGGGTCGAGAGAATTGTCTAGAAGGCCAAGGTGCCGTGGGAACAATCGCGGGCGATGTCTGGTGAAGTGAGAGGCAGTCACATTGGGGACGGTTCTTTCCGTGGAGGCAGTCATGCAGCCCATGCAGGCCGCCAATCTCACCGGAGACATGACGATTTCACTTGACAAATCGTGCACCAACCAGCCACCAGGTTGTTGCGTCGGAGCCGAATCTGGACCCTGTTCACTCGCCTGTTAGGCTGCTACAACATGCCGGAAAAAGGAGGGTTCTGGCCCCTTCAGGGGTCAGCCAAATTAGCTGTACCAGACGTGCCAGCTGCAAACACAGGCAATCGGCGTTCAAAAACCAGACGACAACGAAATCCTTTCAACGCCGTGATCCGTGATCCGTCCTCCGTTGCGGGGTGTCATGAGCTAGGACGAGAAGGGCGAAACCGTAGAAAAACTCGAGATCGGATCCCACTCGTAGGCGTGGTGGCCATCGGGGACCCCGTTGGAATGTTGGAATAACGACAGTATTTTTGGGCCAACATCGGGCCAAATTCCGGGAGACGATCCGTCAACCCTACTGAGTCTATATAGTCGGTGTCGGGGCATCTACTACTATGTATGTAGGTATTGAGGACACCTCGTCATGGGCGGTTCCTGTTCTCTTACCGGGCGTGAAAGCGACGCGATCCATCAACGAAGGTTGAGGAGGTCTTTTCGGGTCTGGCTGGGGGGCTGAGCCTATCAGAGGCTGGGGCTTGTTGCCGGTGACATCATTCTGGGGCGGTAGTGCTGCCAATCATGAGCGCCGCTGACGTTGGCGGGGTCTTTGCCAAGAGACCCAAACTAAGCTTGGGCCGCCTTCCAGACACTTCGGCGCACGGTGGGCTTTCCCTCTGTTCGCCGTTGCGGATGGCATTCTTTGCCAGTTGACACTCATCTGAATGATACTCCGTAGTGTCACTGCTCGTACGATGTAATCGGTAATTTCCAACTTCTACACAGTACGGAGTCCTCCGTACTAACTACGAACAGTCAATCTTCCCGGGGCTGCCTGCCTGCCCACAATCGAGATAAAGAGGGCCAGCACGCTGGTTCCCCCTGTCTCAGCGCCATCCCTGTTCCGGCCGATTCTCGCCGTCTGTCTTCCGCCGGTCGATCCACTGCTCCCGATCAGGAAGTTCTTGGGCTTTCATCGGAGTAACCTATCAGGCTGGCCTCCTCCCTGCAACGGCAAACTCAACGCTGCTTCTCGAAGAAATCCATCTCGGAGTGGGTCGGTCGTCTGCGGCCATCAACTTTGGCGATGTACATAGTACACTGTCCTGCCAGTGACTGTGACTTGGGATCAGGCACGGCTGGCAGTCACCGCACAATCAGGCCAGACAAATGGCTGGATGGCCCGGACCAGCGCTCTGCCCTTCAGCTGAGCATTGACAATCTCTTCACTTGAGCTATCAGGCATACAGTTCATCTGCCGGCACCCAAATCAGATGGAACCCGCCCGCGTGTGATCAGTATACATCCCACGTACCGAACTAGTTGGGTTATCCCACGAGCCATGACATCAGCCCGCATGTCAGGGAACTCTGTTCGTCCCGACGTCGCACCGTCAGGCTGGCCTTTGGTGGACCAGCCACGGCAGTCCGGGTAATATCCGTCTGGTAGGCTTGACGGTCGTCGATACTATCCGTCCGGCATCCATAGCCTCCATCTTACGATAGATAGTCGCATGTACACTGCAATCTCCTCCTCGGGTAAGAAGGAGGCTAGAGCAATTCCATTGTCAGCCACCAACAGTGGTCTAGACGAGGGTCTCCGAGGGATTGTCAGCGGAATAAGGTAGGCTTTGTCTCGGCCAATTGCATCAGACACTAATCTAGTAGCCCTATACCACTGCCATAATATAGTACCTCCAAGGTACCGAGTAACGTAGAGGTACCTGGATTAGTCACCAGGGTGGCGCTTCGGTTTACTGCATAGTATGGTCTGATACTAACCCTAGACAGCACCCTCAGGACGAAAGCCATCTGGTCACGAGCACGCACAAGGGTGAGACATCATCCCGATGATGGGTCCAGTGTGCATGACAAGAGTGCCATGCGGCAGCAACAGTTGGCGACGAACTACACGCCGGTGTCAACTATTCGCTGGATTGTTTCGCCGGGTGCAGCTAAACTAGACGCCTCGGGAATTCTGCATTCGAGCCACATCGTGGATCGTTTCAGATCTACCTCGCCTAGAGCCGGCGCCAGTGGCGACTGGCTTATCGATAATATTGCCTGTTAAGGTTATGAAGGTGCCGCGCTGCATCTAGTTTATATCTATGGAGACCATGATTTTTGTTCCTTGGTTTGACCTATAATCGATTGATTTATACCGTGAAGACCAACCGAATAGGGAAAGTGAGCATTCCTTGATATATCCTCATCAATCCCGAAGAATAGAATCAAATCCCGAATCGAGACATTCAACATCAAGGGACTACCAATGTAGGAGCATTTCATGCTATGAACCAAGTCCATCTCAATCTACATTGATAACGTGTCTTGGAATTCCAGCACAGACTCAAATATCCCAAACGATTGATTATATCGTGAATTCTCACAGTATCTCTCCCCACTGTGGGCATACTATGCAGACTAAAGCAGACTTGGCATCACCTGGAGACCACTACAGAAATTGCCATGTGCAATCTATTAGACCAGTATCTAACTGAGATCCAACTAATAGTCATTCACATCATCCTCTGAAGACGAAAACAATCTCACCCACCACCTATCGCACCAAAATCCCTGCACAAAGAAAAGACTAATTTCCTTTATCGTCAGATCCACCCAGCCTAAGAGAATGCATCCCACAACACTCTACCCAGCCGGATCTATCCCTATCCCCCATCAATCTCCAAGTAAGGGGGAAAGAGAGTAACAGATTAATTTTGATATCAGCATGCTGAACACTAATCAATCAACCTTACTCCCGATACTCCATACAATATCACCCCACCCACCTCAGCCGTGAGTCCCCCCCCCCCACCTTCCTCAATTGTACCTCTCGTGACACAAAACACTACAGAATGGTATGATTAGGTTGACCAGGTCCGGTTTCAGAGTCCAGTAAGAATTCCTAAATGCACTCTACAGACACACCGGTCTTGGTCTGAAGGAAGAGATTGAATTAAACATTGAATGGAAGTGGTTGCGAACGGGGATGTGATACATACAGGGTACTGTGTAGTACGAGTATCTATGCTGAGAGGTGGTGTGCGGGTGGGCCCAGGGCAGGATATCATTTCCTGGCGTGGTATTTGGAGACCAGGAACCCCTACTTCCTCTAATTGGGACGGACGCTACGCTTGGCTTCGTTGGTGGAGAGTGGAGTAGGTATGGATTGATCTTACTTTGTTTTGCTTAATTGTTTCAATGCTCAAGAGCTTGTTGAACAGTTGAAGTGAATGGTGGTACTGAGGTTATTGTTATGAGAGCTAGACACGCAGGCTCAACACCTGTATATATCAAGGATCCAAAGGATCGCACCGTCGGAATCTTCCACAGTGATACGGCCCATACCAGGTTATAGAAGGGCGAGCCTTTCGACTATTGCGTCTTTGAACCTTCCGGTGCCCCAGTTGAGGACCCTCGAGATCTTGGAGACGAAATCGAATGCGCCGTCCATATGTGTTGTCCGCCATACGCCAACATTAGCCATGCAGTAACTGTGCTCGTTCACATCCCAGAAGTGCGCCCATAACTCACATATGGGGCCCTTCCGTGGCAGCAGAAAAGACAAGCAGCGTAGCTTTCGGACCATTCATATTGAGCGACGGTTCCTCCCTTACCGGGAAGATTCCCTTCAGGATGTTGATTGCCGAGGCACCGCCCACTGCGGCCTGGTTCTGAGCTTGGTAAAGGTTACCACCGGTGGCACCCGATTTGGTCTCGACGAGGAGAAATGGGAACCGTAAGCCTAATGGAGCCTCCCCAGGGTCACTGATGAGTGAGCCAGTCTCCTGAAGGTCATGCAAATAGAACTTGGCACTATCGCCATGAACAGAGCGCAATGCAAGTGCAAGTGCCTGGTCTGAGAGCCCTGCTGAGATGTCGGGACGAGGGTCCTTCAATGAGAATGGGGCTGTAGCTAACTGGCCCGCAGATGTAGGTTCCGTCGTCTGAGGCTTATCCAATAGTGATGAATCACTCGACTGTGCGGAAGGAAGTGGCGCTTTTGGACCCGCAGTTATGCGGGGATACTCTGATACTTTGTCTCCCAGGTTGTCGCGCAGTCGCTTTTGCGGGATAGACATCGACGGTTGATGGACTTCAGGTTTGAGATCAGGTCGCCAATCTAGAGTATTCTTGGTCAGCTCACCTAACCTGGATCATTTCTGTCTTAGAGAGTGTACCCCTGTTTCTAGCGACTATAACATCTGTGGACTTCAGCTCTTTCAGTATCTCATGCAGTAGGACCGTCCACTCGGTTTCTCCGGCTTGCGCTGCGGTCAATTCCAGAGACTCGCGTTGAAGCTTGGTTGCTAAATGGTTGATCGTGGCTAAGGTCGCTGGAGGCGCTTCCAGAGCAAGGTCGACATTGCTCTGTACTTGTCGAGGAACGTTGACGTCGACATGTATTCCTGCACGGAAGAACGTTTGTGCACGGTATGTCGCCTCGCTTGGTTCCCTTGGGCTAGAGGAGCGAGATCTGGTCGATACTGACGTAAGAGCGTGAGGTGGTAATGCTGTCTGAAGCTCCTGTGTACCGATAGGCTGAGTCATCCTGGACGAATTGATCAAGTTCGGCCTCTAGCTGTAAGAGATATTCCTGTTTCAAGGGAATTGGAGATAATGAGACCCGGGATGGCTTGATTTCCCTTCCTCGTTCAGACCCCGTGAAATCGGCCTTACGCTTCATGTTTGACACATTTAGAGGATCTCAATGGTTAGCTCTGCATGATATAAGTACATCTGTACAACGCCTCATTGGATTGAGTTGGGAAGCATCACGAATCTTATGTGGAACACATACTGTGGACCGCCAACAGTTGACTCCCAAGGTCACTTGCATACCAGACCGCCTATGTAGATAAATGCAGAACTCTCACCGCTTGGGATATGATTACTGCCTAAGGCTCGCTGCTGATGCTTGAAGCTCTAAAGATGGCTTACACACGCGCGCCCTTTACTAAACGTATAGAAAGCCCCTTAGGGGGCCCGTTGATACTTTAACTACACAGGATCTGTGCGGGGTTCTCTACTAGTCTTTATAGTGCTTTTCATATACGTTGTTCTCGATTGTTCCTGCTAAGCGACCATTAACCTGCCTAACCGATCCTCCATTCCAATCCCTCCGATCATTAGTCGCGGCCTTAATCACGAAAAAACAGCTCTGAGAATAATGCGCTTCTTGCTGGATCTGTGCAGCGCTCGCTACATCAGATATACCTCCATGATTTTGCAGCCACAGGAGTCGTCAGTCTTTGTTTTCCAAAAGAAATCATTGCTTGTCCAAGCTTTTGACCCATCTGCCAATACCGAGAATGGTACAGCAGGCAGGACATAATATGCAAGACTCTAGTTATCATTCAGAAGAAGAGAAAGCCCCACAACGTGTAAATGGATCAAGTACCGTTCATACGGAACCACATGACACAAGCCATTACAGCCCAAGCAATCCACCACAGCCACAGACGTTCAGACACGAAGGTAGAGAGTATCAGCAGAACAAGTGCGTTCCACTCATTCTCAATAAGATCCATCAACTGGTATATCAGTGAGAGGAAAAAGTAAAAACGCTACAGCAGCCACAACCCACCCGCCATGCAGGGGTAGAGATAACATGGCTGATGTTGGCTTCATGATAATCATGGTCATCTATATTCTTCCGTTTTACAGCGCGTTCTGTGGTTTTGCGATTGGTCTGTTATCCCGATGACTTCTTCCCGCTGGGACGCGTGGATGGTCGTTCTGATATGACCTGCGATGGCGGGTGGTTGCAGGTGATTGGTAGTCGGATTCGTTGGACAGCGAGCTTTTGCATATATATAGGGGTTAGGATAGTCCTATCTCAACTGGGGTGAGATGTAGCCATCTCTAGATGGGTCTCCGGGGCTGTGATGCTGCAATGTTGATCAGAGGTTGCGGGATGCTGGGTCCTTATATCGTCTGGGTCAGTATTGGAATCTTGCATTTGATGAAAGGAAATATCCCGTTCAAGAAGATTTTGCGGGTGAGTTCCTTGAGATATCCGAAGTGCTCCGTTCGATATTTTTGTTTTACGGCCATATGACCGGTAACTGTATTGGCGTAGGAAGAAATGTCTACTTAGGGATGTTCCGCGGAAAAGGACTTGGGAGTGTACTGCCTTTTCCATTACGTTTCAGGCTAATGGAACTGGCTACAAGTAGATGTGCACAAGGTTTTGAATATTTAAGAAGAATAAATATCATGTCATTTCATTTAAGCCTAACTACATCTTGAACATTTGTTGTACTTGTTTTCGTAAAGGTATCAGTAAAGCCCCTAATTGTTCTAGAATGCAATCATTTTGTTGCGATCGAACAGATTCTGAGCCTGCAGCTGTACCTTTTCGAACCTCGTAAAGCCGCAGGACTCACTCTCCAGGTGGTTGAACAGAGCGGCTAGAGTAACAAATTCCTTCCCACATCGTCCTGTCATGTTCGGGCAATGGTATAATTTCTGCTTATGAACGGTTGAGTTCAGATGTTGACTGAGCGCGGCACTGGTGTTGAACTTCCGGTGGCAGATGTAGCATTCCCAAGACTTGCCGTTGAATGCACGGCTCGTGGCCGTGTATTTCCCGTTGTCATCTTCATGCCATTCGAGCATTTTCTTCGTAAGGATGCCCTGCGTGTCACGGCTGCGGATAAACTTGTAGATAGCTTCGCGGTTTAGCGATGGAGCATGAGGGCAAGAACCCCTCTCGAGGTGGTGGGTAACGCCGGTGGCCGTAGCGAAACCAGTCTTGCAGAACGGACAGACGATGTCCTGGCCGCGGTGGATCTTCGAGTTTAGATGCTACAGACGGAAATGTCAGTCAATAAGGGGACGTCGGCGGAAGAAGACTTACCATCTTGAGGTTGTTCTCGTTCTGGAATCGTCGATCACAAGGACGGCAGTAGTATCTGTAATGATTCTTCTCCCGCATGTGCTTTTCTGCAGTACTTTCTGAGAAGAACATCAGGTTGCAAGTTTCACATGGCCATGGAGGAACCCAATGTCCCAGCGCGTCCATGTGCTGATCAGCTGAGCGTTGGGTATGGAATTTTCTATCACAAGTGTCGCAGGGAATCTTAGGTGCGTAGTGTTTGTAGCGGCTCATGTGCAAATCGGCCTCCTCTTCACAGTTGAACTCTTCATCACAAGTCTCGCATTCAAACACAGCCCAGTGGTCGTTGTCATCCATGTGCCGACGACAGGCAAACAAGCTCTTAAAATAACGAGGACAGGTGTCACACTCATACATTGTGGGCAGTAGATCAGTGTGGCTTGACAAAGGCGATTGGTTATCAAGTGAGCTTATCCTCAGCCGGATATCGGGGTGCTCGATGGAGATGAAGACCAGGACAAAGATTCGACTGAAGGGAAAGAGAAATAATGATGGAGGGCCCTGAAACTACCCTCTGCAGACTTGAGGACTTTTCGGATAGGACCTGATAATAGGATAAGACAGGATGTCAGGATCCTCTGGCAGGGAAATATGCACCTTATCGGGGGATACTACCGAAAAAACCACGGGTGCTCAATAGAAAAGAGAATCGCCCTTGACAAAATATGCTGGTCGGATTGAATGCCAGCCTTGATTGAGTGATCAAGTCATGATGGTAGTGAATGTCAAGTGTCACTTGGAATTATTGGCAAATCGGCGGCATCGGATGGATCCGTTTTCAATCCAGGCATCGGGACCAAAGGAGAAGGTCTACAGTTAATGCATCAACCATACAAAGCCTGAGGCACGAGGATGCCGACTCATGAGCTACGTTGGCTTGTACTTGGCTGCCCACGCTTCTTCGGGAATCTGATGCACGATCTGAGTGCTGCTATTCGCTCCTGGCCGGGTGCTTGACTGGCTCAAAGTTATTGAGAGTGACCTGGTAACTGGATTGCTCATTCTTCTGGATGGCTCGGTGGCTGTCTGTTGTGGCTGCTTTTCCTGTCAGGTCCGAGATTGATGTCGCTCACCCTGGTATGTTGGAGAACGGAAACCTAAGCATAATCAATGCCATATCTACGGGTTGTACGCATGCAAGTGGCATGTTTGAAATACCATATACTTGTGTACGGAGAGATAAGACGACTTGCGTAGGATGTGGATACCGATCTCTGGGGTAGATCCAGCGTCTATGAATAAGGCTTGGCACCGCTGCCCCTCCCCAGCAACCCAATGGTTTCGTTGGCCAGGCATAAGCTCTCATAGAGTTTGTACAGTGAGACATGGGTCAAAGGCCACGATTCACAGATCATGTCCATCGGTTCAGTGGGGAATCACGATCCGACCCAGCAACGGCCTAGTTGCATGCACCGACTGGCTGAGAAGAAGCCGGGGATCGGCTCTAGCTATCTGTTGACTGAGAGTTGACCAAAAGGATTGTGTCTATCTCTGTTCCCTTTCTAGTCCATGATTTATCATGGTTTATCAGGCCTGGCCATGGTACAAAATATATATGAGACATTTTGTAACCCAACCATCCACCAACAACGGTCGACGGAGTACGGAGTAGGCTCGCATCTTTCGGGTACTTATCATGTCCCAAAAAGCGGAACACTACTCCGTAGTCGTATTAGATAAACCTTCTACTGGCGCTTAATTCAATAGACCAGAATGAGGTGTCCCGCCTACGCTAGATGACATGGCCAAGGGCTGTACTATGTGATGAAGGACAACAATTAACTGCATGCTGCATAGTGCATGAGTAATAATGACAGTGATGATGCAAACGATGAGCCAGGAGAGACTGCGTGCCTGGAATGCATGCAGTCATCGACCCGGACCAGAAGGAGGATCAACCCCCAACCCAAAGCGGGGCATTCCGGGTGCGACGATCACCTGACCCCTCTCCTGCCGCTAAGGGGCAGCCTAAGGCCACTTCCCGAGTTCGCTCCGTCGAGATAAGTACCTTCCCCAACCCGATAAGGAGTCCCCCAACTCACACGTCATCATCGCTGCTCCCGCCGCGACGCCAGCTGTCGCATCCCCCCCGGGTCATCGCTGTTCAGTCCCCGATGCAATAGATAGCACGGAGAATTGACGAGGGAAAAAAGTCAGCATCGGGAGTTCCAACGGATACTATATTAGGAAACACGGATGGGGTCAGGATTGGGCCGGGCTGAGATACCGACTGGTGGCGTCAGTGGCGGGTACGGACGGAGTCGACCTGGCCGGTCCTAGGGTCCCCCGGACTGATACCAGGCCCCCGGCATCTTCCTTTGACTCCTCCCAAGGCTACAGAAGTGACCAGGCTGCCTTTGTTTGAACGATAGCCGGGGTTGCCATCCTTAACTATTGTTGCGGGCGAAATGTATCCTGTAGAGAACTCCCAGTCCAACAGATCAACTAGTCAGGAGTCACCGAACCAAACCCTTCTAGTAGATTCCCTCCAGCGCTTCGGCCGTGAAGCGGATTGGAGAACCAAATGACGCCAGGCAGGCGGGATCCGGTGAATGGCCGGAGGGCAAGGGAATCCCCCAGGCTGTGCCAGAAACGTCGCCCGAGAGGTACTTGGTCTGACAGGCTAACACCCGCCCGGGCAAAGGTCCCTGCTGCTCGTTTCCCTATTCTTGTGACTCTTCCCATTAGCCTTCCCTTGCATCACGTTATCACTGACCGACTCTGACTAAGGCGCTTCGCCTCCGCCTCCTCCCCTCATCTCTCCTCTCCTGACTACTTAAGTCTTCTCTTCCTTCCTCTCACTGCCTGTCTCCTTCTATCCTCCATCCCTCCCTTACGCACCTTCATCGGCGTTTCTCTCTCCACCCCTTCAACATCATCCTCCTAGACCTCACTGCGAATCCACTGAGTTTATCGTCACGATGCAGATCTTCGTGAAGACCCGTGAGTACTCCTAGCTAGCCACGCCTCCAGTCCAGTCATCATCTGTGCATGTCCTAACCTTCCACTCTTGTCTAGTGACCGGCAAGACCATCACCCTTGAGGTCGAGTCCAGCGACACTATCGATAACGTCAAGTCCAAGATCCAGGACAAGGAGGGCATCCCCCCGGACCAGCAGCGCCTCATCTTCGCGGGCAAGCAGCTGGAGGATGGTCGCACGCTGAGTGACTACAACATCCAGAAGGAATCCACCCTGCACCTGGTTCTCCGTCTGCGTGGTGGAATGCAGATTTGTAAGTCGTATAACCTTATTTGCCACTCATTGGCCACTTACATAGACGGTATCCTAACGTGCTGCAGTCGTCAAGACCCTCACCGGAAAGACCATCACCCTTGAGGTCGAGTCCTCCGACACGATCGACAATGTGAAGAGCAAGATTCAGGATAAGGAGGGTATTCCTCCCGACCAGCAGCGTCTGATCTTCGCTGGTAAGCAGCTGGAAGATGGCCGCACCCTGAGCGACTACAACATCCAGAAAGAATCCACGCTCCATCTTGTCCTTCGTCTTCGTGGTGGTATGCAAATCTTCGTCAAGACTCTTACGGGAAAGACCATCACATTGGAAGTCGAGTCTTCCGACACGATTGACAACGTGAAGAACAAGATTCAAGACAAGGAAGGAATCCCTCCGGACCAGCAGCGTCTCATCTTCGCTGGCAAGCAGCTGGAGGATGGCCGTACCCTGAGCGACTACAACATCCAGAAAGAATCCACGCTCCATCTTGTCCTTCGTCTCCGTGGTGGTATGCAGATCTTCGTGAAGACCCTCACTGGCAAGACGATCACTCTGGAGGTGGAGAGCTCGGATACCATCGATAACGTCAAGAGCAAGATCCAGGATAAGGAGGGTATTCCTCCGGATCAGCAGCGTCTCATCTTCGCTGGCAAGCAGCTGGAGGATGGGCGTACGCTGTCCGACTACAACATCCAGAAGGAGAGCACTCTCCACCTGGTCCTCCGCCTCCGTGGTGGAAACTAATGACTCCCTTGTTCTTTTCTAGCACGGCTCATCTACGGTTGAGTGGCCTGCATGGCGTTGGGATGGTTGCTTTTGTTTTCATGCTACGGATAAATTGGGCATACCTTAGTGTCACCATCTTCTATGGTGCCTTGCGACATTCTTTTACCTAGGAATTGATAAACCACATTCCTCAATGATTTTCGTATCCATATTCGTGCTCTGTAGATCAAGCGTATACTCCGTCGATCCAGCGTGTACTACGTATGTCACGCGCTAATATAGCCGTACGACGTTCTCAGCAGGTAACCCACTACAGAACATGCGGAATTTTGCTCCAACTATATGTAGAACCGGCTCTATACATGATCTATAGGGAAGCATTTCGAAGACTTCCGATGTGAGTCACTATGGAGTATGCTTTGCCACCCCAAATCTGGCACGTGACTGCTGTATCCAAGGCGGCGGCGGGACCTGAAAGTAGCAATCCATGAGCAGTCAACCAGTGGAGCAGTTGCCGACCTGCACCGCTCTGGAGATGTGAGCATCAGTCGTGATGCCCTCTTATTTTTACCACATTGCGATCGAACTATTTACTCACCCGCAATCTGACCTCCAAGGCGCCTATCCAGGCGTGGACAAGCACGCTTCCACGTCACTGGCGTTCGACTCCGCATGTGAAGCTCTACTCCCGTTCCAGAAGCGCCCGCGGCCCTCTACCTGGACACACCGATCCTCTCGCCATCAATCGGTTGCAAAACATCACCGTGCGAATCCTCCCACCGAAACCGGTCTCACAAACACTGAAGCCAACGTTCGAGATACCACTACCCCTCATCCCTACGTGAGCTCGCCGACAAGCGCATCCGACCTCGAGAAGGACCTCCGATTTGATAAGGTGTCTATCGAGTGCATTGATATGGTTCCGTCTGAGCAGGAAGCGGCAGCTGCGAAGCGGACAGGTTGGAAAGACCCCAAAGAAAACCCGATCGCGACGGGCATCGGGACCGATATCCTCGGTGGTCTCCGCACGAAAGGCCAATACATACCGCTGGATCAGAGCACATCGGAGAGTGTCTGGGGAATTGTACACCTATATCGGGACACCCAGGAAACACCGTACCTGGTAGAGGATGACTATCCATCGTACCTGAAGGGTTCTGCGGCCGCCGCGAGACAACCATACGATGAGCCGGGCGGAAGTAGCAGACCCCCGCGCGGGGAGGAGTATATGCCGGATGAGGATTGCACAACGCTCTGCATTCTAGCTGTTCCTTCTTATATGTCACCGTCTGATTTCTTGGGATTTGTTGGCGAGAATACTATGAACGACGTCAGTCATTTTCGGATGATCCGGACCGCTCGAGCGAATCGGTATATGGTATTGATCAAGTTCCGCAGCGGAAAGAAGGCCAGAGAATGGCAGAAGGATTGGAATGGGAAAGTGTTCAATAGCATGGAGGTAAGTGCGTCTGCATGGTTGCGCAGTACCCACAGCTGCGATGCTAACGCGCCCTTGCTTACAGCCGGAAACGTGTCATGTCGTCTTCGTGAAAACTGTTGAAATCCAAGCCGTTGAGCCGGAAACGCAGTCGGATGACTCGCAGAGCGGGCTGCTTTCTCCTCACACCGCGATGAGCCCTATACGCACGACACCAATTTCAACCTCTCAATCAGCCATACCCTCCGCTAGTCTCTCGACCAGGCCTCTGGCGCCTCCGACACCAGCACTGATCGAGCTTCCAACATGTCCGGTGTGCCTGGAACGTATGGATGAAACCACCGGCTTGCTGACCATCATCTGCCAGCATGTGTTTCACTGCACGTGTCTACAGAAGTGGAAGGGCAGCGGCTGTCCCGTCTGCCGATACACGCAGGACGACGTCCGACGGAACAGCCAAGGTGCGCTGTATGACGACGAATCAGCCGAGTGCAGCGTGTGTCATTCCGATATGAATCTGTGGGTCTGCCTCATCTGCGGGAGCATCGGCTGTGGGCGCTACGACGGAGCCCATGCCTTTGAGCATTACAAGGACACGGCGCATGCCTTCGCCATGGATATTTCTACGCAGCGCGTGTGGGACTACGTTGGCGACGCCTACGTTCATCGTATCATTCAGAGCAAAACCGACGGCAAGCTCGTGGAGCTCCCTGCAGCGGATAACAGCGCCCTCGACCCTCCGGACTGGACGGACGCCGTGCCCCGGGAAAAGCTTGAGAACATGAGCGTGGAATATACCCACCTCCTCACCAGCCAGTTGGAGAGCCAACGGGCTTATTTTGAAGAGGTGGTCGAGCGTGCCGTGGACAAAGCATCCCAGGCTAGTGCGGCGGCCACTTCGGCACAGGAAGCGGTCGAGAAAGCCACCGCAAGTCTCAGGAGTCTACAGGGGCAATATGACGATCTGACGCGCGAGATCATTCCCGGCCTTGAGCGAGATAAGGCTCGAGCCGAGAAACGGGCAGAGAAGTTCGAGTCGATGACGCGCAAGATGGAAAAGGAGTGGCGGGAGGAAAAGACGATGAACGAGAACTTGATAGAACGGGTAGAACTGTTGAAGTCGGAAGTGGAGAATCTAAAACTGGCGAATGCGGACCTGACAGAGCAGAACCGGGACTTGACCTTCTTCATCAGCGGGTCAGAACGGTTGAAGGACCAAGGCGAGGAAGTGGTGCAGGGGACAGTGAGTGTTCCTGAGCCAGAGAAGCCCAAGAAGAAAGGAAAGGGAAGGAAGAAGTGACGCTTGTCGGTTCTCGATGGAGACTACAGGCTCGCCGGTCGAGTCGGTCATTACAGCAGCGAGATGCAGTTGCTTCGTACAGCTGCCCTTTTATCAATTACCCGTGTACTCTAATACCATAGCCAGGCCATTAGCAATGCAACAGACTTAATCCAATGAAACCCAACCGTACCCTACACATATCATACACTAATAATATACAACCCAACACAACCACCAAACTAAACCCCCTTCCTAACCGCCCAAAAATAATTCCCCCAACTCTCCGACCCCTTCACAATCTTCCACCCCAACCCCGGAAAATACACCACCCCCTCACACCTCCAACTCATCCCCTCCAACACCTCACTGCCTCCCCTCCTGGCCCCTCCATCCGCCCCCCTCATCAACCCCTCCTGCACCCACGCCTGCAACTCCCCCGGATTGACAAACTTACTCCACTCATGCGTGCCCTTCGGCACCACCCCAACCGGCCACGGCGCCTCCGCAATCACCTGATTAACAATCCACGACGGAAACGTCCGCGCAATCGTAGACCCGATTAACCATCCGCCTGGCTTGACCATCGATAAACATGAGGAGAGGAAGCCTTGCGGTGTGATGCTCCCCGGCACGTTGTCAATGTGTTCGATGACTTCGAAGAGGGTTACCACGTCGAATTTCTTCCCTCCCTCCTGACTACCGTTTGTAGTTGAGGTGGGTGTGGTGGTAGTGGATGTAAGGGTAGGAATATACTCCTCCAGCGTCGAATTGACATACTTAAACCTCCCCGTCTCCAAATGTCCCTCCACGACAGGATCTAACCGCGCATGATCCCTCGCAATCTTAATCAGCGTAGAACTCGGATCGAGCGCCGTGATTTCCGCCGCGCGCGTGCGCGTCGGTGTACTGGATGCTGGGTCTGTAGTGGTGGGAATCGTGCGCGCGAGGGATTCAGCGAAGATACCGCCGCCGCAGCCGATGTCGAGGTATCGGAGGGTGTTGCGTTTCGGGGCGTCGGTCGGGGTAGAGGGGATGGTGGTTATGGGGGTGGATTCGGCGAGGCATGAGGCGATGAAGTCGTGGCGGACGGGGTTCATGAGGTGCAGGACGCGGGAGGGACCTTGGGGGTCCCACCAGGAGCTGGCGAGGGAGGAGAAGTGGGAGAGTTCATTGGGGGAGACGGATGTGGTTGCTGTTGTTGTTGTTGTGGAGTGGAGGCGGGTGGTGGTGAGGGATTTGAGGGTGGAGGGGAGGGTGCGGAGGGTTGGGCGGAGCATTTTGGAGCTTTGGATTCGGGGTTGGGTTTGCGGGAGGGATTGTAGTGGTGAGATGAGGTTCTGTGGATGTTAGCGATGGAGTGATGTGACGGGAGGAATACCTACTAGCTAGATTGCTCGCGCATCCTCAGCGGCGATAGCTGGATTTGGCAGAATTGAAGCCGAAGTTGCGGCCGCGGATATGGAGAAACAAACATGCCAAGGCTGGTGTTTGTTTGTTTGTTGGATCTACATGTTGCTCTCGGTGGTGGCGAGGAACTGGATGTGATAGATCAACATGGAGAAGGGAGATAGATACGAGGCATATGTATGTCGGTGGTCGCCTCTGGATGTGCAGGTGCCATGCGTGGTGGCGTGCATTGTCATCCCCATACATATCACTACGAGGCGATGAGGGGTGAGGCAATGAGGCTCCGAATCATCCTGGTGATTGTTACCATACGGTACTCTCGGTCTCTCTACTCCATACCGAAGAAGTATTCCTCTCAGGACTCCGTACCGGTACACGACACCACGTACAGTGGTAATACTATCCACTCAATATAATCCCTCACGTCTCCTCGTCAATCCACACCATATCCAAACTCAGAATAAAACTCCGTCGGTGAACATCCTGACCCCACTTAAGGGAGTGTTCTACGTGTCTTCTAGAAACATTCCCTATCCATACCACGACGTACGAACCACCGGGTAGCCAGGGTTATGGGGCGGATGGAGTCCGCCATTCCTTCTGTGCCGTAGTTCGATGGATCCGGAGGAGTCCCGGATGGCTCCCTTCTCCTGTCTGTAATTCTGGAATCCGGATAGTGTATGCACTATACCAGTGTCTGCTACTTAATTCTCGGCTGAACTAAAGTGCACTAGAGCACCCCGGGCTAAATTGCTTTCGGATCGTGGTAGTCTCGGGTCGGGTCTCGTTTTCATGATGCCGGTGAAGATCATGCGCACTGCCTGCGTAGAGTAAGTCGCGGCGGATTGATTCTTGGGGTGTCGATCAGGATTGTCCAGTGAGGGGGCGGTTGAGAAATGGGGCTTCCGACTATACTATTGTCCTATGACTAGTCTGGAGTAGGCGTCACTTAGTTCATAGTTGGTATGGAGTAACTCCATAACCTGTTGAGTTGGGGTGAGGGACAAAGAAGCGGTGGTGGTGATGCGGTGTGGTAGACCGGGAGGTGTGTGTGACGCTTGTCGGAGTAAAGTAATTCTACCGAGTCGGGAGAGAACTGTGAATGGGGTGTTCTGGGTCGCGAATGTTAGTTGTGGCCGTGGTTGTGGTTGGTAATCTGATTATTGAACTCCTTTCATCATCCTACTCCTTCCCCTATCCGCGTTGCGGGACGAAGAATGTGGCACGGCAGCTGCATCGCTGCCTTCTGCAGCACCAATTTCACTGCCCCAGTAGGGTCGACAAGACTGTGGCGACGAGACAAAGGCATTCAAGAACTTAAATCATTGAGCCCTCTGCACGCTGTTCGCGGCTCAGATGTGATTGTCCTGCATAGGCAAGCTTCCAGAAAGAGACGAAATCTGGCGCTAGAGCACTGCTACTGCATCGCCATCGCCCGATGCATCCTCCTCAATCTGACGGCCTGGTCACCCAGCTCCCATCGCCATCCATAGGCCGTTGGCTCCAGTCCCAGCCTTCCAGCAGTGACCTGACCAGGCCAGACCACACCACCGGTGGAACTCTCCCCTATTCTGCCTCCCGCAACCTAGGAGCGTCCTCACAACTGAAACTTCCAGGCCACTCGCAATTAAGTCTAGGCCGTTGGTCCAATCGTATGGCCCGCATATTCTTGTAACTTCAGTCTCCGGCCGGTTATTACTTAGGAGTGTTATGCAGGCGGCCGGACGTCATCACCCTCCGCTCTAGCCACACTTCCCAGGGCCCCGAGCGCCCCTGAATTTACGTGGGCCAGGTCAAGCCATTCGAGAGGCCGTCTAGGAACAAGACAATATGATTCGCACTGCCTAGTCCAGACCAACGCCCGGGATAGAAGCCAGCCGTGGGGCCGAGTGAATCATTCATCACGGATCCGCGGCCAACACGGACACCTGCAGGGATTACGGGTGACGATGACGATGCAGAGGACGGGCAACAATCCTATTCTTCGGGTCATCGAATCATGAGAATGACACTGACCACCCCGAAAGTCAATTCTGGGGTTCCTAAGGATGCAGCCTGAGTTTTGCTTTTGCTTTTAGTCGTCAGAGCCCCGTGTGTGCCCAAACCCGCTGCGCTGTGGTGGGATCCTCATCTCAGGGATGTGACACGAGCGCCAGGAGGAGAGACAAGGGCCACCATCGGCCCAAAGGTGGGTGACGCAGCCGCCATGGCACATGGGGTGGACGCTTTAGAAGCCTTCCATTGCCCTTCCGATTTTTTTCTAGAAGGTCGCCGGAAGCCCGAACAGGCTTGGCGCGCCCATGTAACTGGTCCGTACGGGTCCCGTACGATGTATGACTCCGTTAGTGTGTGTAGCAGTGGAGTCGCCCTCTGCAAGGGAGACCAACAAGAAGGTCACTGAAGAGGAAAATGAAAGCCGAAGACACTGGCAGAGCATCAGGAAAGGGAAAAAAAAAAGGGAGGGCGGCCCTGAACTGAATGAAGCCCAGAGCCAGCACGGGTGGACACTTCGTCGCAGCCTCCTCCGTCAGGTCCGTAGACTAGCAAGACTAGGCGACTAGTCGCAGGACTAGGGCAACTGGTTGTAGGAACCGGGCGGGAGAAGAACTCCACGGCCCATTACCGCCCTCCGTATCATCAAACCCTGCTTTTGCGCTTCTGAGTTAGTCCAGGTTGGAGGACTTGGGAGGGGTGGTGACTGGTGAGTGTTGGCTGTTCACCCTTCTGGACGCCGTGCTGCACCCGTCAGCATGTGGTCCAACGTGACATGCAGATCCGTGAGAGGCAGACGGGCATCCGACAGGGCGAGGCCGTCCTGTCCCTGCAGCCGTGGTCGGCTGGGACGGGTCTGAAGGCACTATGTAATAGTGCGTTCAAAGCTCCTCCCAGAGGTCCTGGGCCACGCCCGGTTCCCCATCATTCGAAACTTTCTAGAAGGAAATTAGCTTTCCACCGTTGCTCTTCGGTAATCACAGGCCATGCTGAGACCCTCTCCCGAAAGGGGCAAATCACATCTTCCGTCGAAGAGCCGAATCGCCTGGGGTTCGATGCTGGTAATCTGATTCTTGACTATCAGCAAGATTGGCGACCGCTTCGCCCTGAAATTTCGTCCAGGAGGGTTGGCAACAAATGAGCGCGGGCAGTGCTCCTGAACCACCTTTCCTTTTGGTTCGAATTTGTGTAAAATAAGCTGCAGGATTTTCCTCCCTTTCTGGATGAGGGTTCACGATAGGGAGCCATGCCACGCCCGAGGGGGAATGGTTGATGCCTGATAGGGAGCCGGCACTGGAGAGTTTCGCATGTCGCACGATACATGAAGCATGCAGCCAGTCCGATCGGATCACCTGGCTTTCCCATCCTTTTCCTCTTTTCGCTTCCTTTGCTTTCTTTTCTTTTCTTTTCCTCTCAATCTAATTTGCCTTTGTCCATCCTGCGGTTTCGGCTTATCCTCCGTGCCCTCCCTGTTCCCTCGAGGGGGCGCACCAGGGGGCAGATAGAGGCCCCTTGAGATGGATTGAACTCCTGGGGTAAGGAACGTCGCTTCCGCTCGGCGATGCCATTCCCGTGTAGGTACGGATTCCTGGTCGGCTCATCCCAGGAACAGCACGATCGGGGACCTTGTCCTCCTTTACGTTATACACCACCCCCTTAGCGCAGATTATATCCCGTGGGATGTAGTCATCGCGGTTCGTCCGTACAGGCAGGTTTTCTGGTACGGAGTAAGGCGACCAGAACCGTTGTTCGCTCCCGCCATCCTCCAGGATCTCGCAGTCGCCGCATCGTGCAGAGACGCGACTGTGAGCGTCGCCTGGCCCGCGAACCGAAAAATAATAATAATATTGTCAAAAATCATTCAGATCGGCATCCAGCCGTACCCACCAACAGTAGCAGCAGCGATGCTCGCACGGCCAGGAAGGGACGGGGAAAGCCACGTTGTGGAGCCGAGCGCTGACGGTGACCTTCTGGTGCCGCCAGCTTCTTCGGGCGAGTGAGTTCACTGGAGCCACTTGGGGCCTGTGGTGGAAACGTGCGAAGCTGTAGTGGTACTTAGAGTCGTGGTAGCCTCCGTTGACTAAGACGTCTGGGACGGCGCTAGTCGTCCGTAATCAGGAGGGAGAATAATCTTTTTTATTATTATTCTGATTATTATTATTATTATTTACCGCCAGCAGCCAGCACTAAGCACCAAGGGAGTAACTACTAATTATAATAACATTAATTTTAACTTACCTTGCCCGCCAGCGTAAGGACGAAGGAGGGGGACAGGCACTCCATAATAATTATTCGAGAACGGGTGAGGCATTGAGGGTGAATCTGGTTGGATCTATAAGATACGCGCAGCCACCTGCTTCTTTCTTCCCGCTGCCGTCTGGACAGTCAGTCAATATTACGGTTACCATACTCTGTACCCCATCCCCATCCCATCCTTGATTCCATCGTCCTTCACCTCGTCGTCTCTTGGGCTTCTCTCCCAACCGGCCGAAATCCATTATTCCCCCCCAAACCTTCGTCTCCTTTGATTTTTCCTTTTCGACTGCCCTCCTTGCTTTTTTCCCCATCCTCTTCCTGGACATTTGCTTCGCCGCCGCTGCATCATTCGCCACGGTGCTGCCCTTCGAGGAATTTCCCTTCCCCTCGTACTTCTATTGCTTCTCCCGTCAGAATAACCCCGAGAAGCTCCGTCGAACAGCCCTTCCATTGCTTGCCGTTTGACTCTTCGGAACCTCCCACCTCATTCTTCCGTCGATCCTCTCCTTTCGCGCACCGCAATCTGGTTACTCCCAGACAGAAAGCAACTGTGTGTGTTTCACCTGAAGCTGTCATTTTTCTGGATCTCTTGTAAGTGCTTCTTTCTCGGTTCCTTGGGCGCTTTTCAACACCGCAGCTCCCCCGCGGTTGGGTCAGCCCCAACATCTACCCCCAGTCTATGATGGCTGTGCCCTGGCTGCGAATGGATCAGGATGAGCGCCTGCAGGTCAGGTCGCCGTGTGGGCCAGCGCCCTATTTGTCGCATTCCTTGGGTAAACCCTGCGCGCGATGACATCCATTGAGCGGCTTCGGGCTGTCCCCGTTTGTTTCAGTGGGCAAAAAAAAGCCCCCCAGACACTGAACAGATCGGGCACAAGAAACTTCCCACCACTTTATCCGCTCGTGTGCGCAATTTGCTAACCTTGTCCTGGTGCCACCGTTCAGAATCGATCCATCTGGCCGCCGTTCGAGTCCAAATTAATTTGCGTCCTGCCCGTTTACCCCTCCTCTGGAGATCCTGAGCCTTTTTCCGTGAAAACCCGCCGAAACAAACCGACGGCGCGAACGCTCACAACCTGCGATCGCAGACGCTACCTAGGCGACTCGGGCCTCGTCGCGAATCTCGTGCAAGTCGTGGCGATACCTCGGTGACCACCCCCGTGTTTCAACGACCGACCTGGGATCGTGTGGAATCTGCAACAGTGACCTCGAGCCGCCTTCATTTGGCCACTTCCGAACAAGTCTCGCTGCAGCTATCCGAGGAGGTTTGTTTTAGTGTCTTGGTCTTTGTTGGGCCAGTCCCGAATCTACTTCCACCAGACGCCCGCGTACGATCCGATTCGTGAAGCAACGCCGCTTCTTCAACCCATATTGGAATCTTGTCCTTCGCGCCAATACTCGCAGTCAAGTGCTGGACATCTGGCGAGAACCAAGCAGTATTGTCTGGGCTATAATTTGCTGTTCGGAATCGAGACTGCGGCACGGTTTGGGTTTCAACTCGCCCTTGCCCTCACATTCCTGATTACAAAAATCGGATCCCGGTCACCCTCGCCCACGTCACACCTCTCAGGACAAAAGTCCTTGAGCGACCTCTGGCGCAAAAAGCAAGGTGAGTTTGGAATCTCTTTGTCGCTTAGCTCGGTCAAATCATCTCCCGGCGACGTCTGTTTGCCTTCCAACCTTATTCGGGGCGGGGATTGGAGCCCCCTGGTTGTTTTCGCCCGCGTGTGGCCTGATTGCTCGAGTGGTTCCACGACTGCGCTGTCTGCATTTCGATTGCCTTTCCGTGGCGCGAAGCTAACTCATCACTTGTCAGCCATTCAATAGCCTTCAGCCAAACGCCGTGGAGACTTTCTGCGGCTACGCGTCAGACGGGCTACCGTGGGATCCTTCGACCGTCCTTGACCGCCGTCCCTCAGCTCCCCGCGGGGTCGGGTCATGGACATCACAACTATCTTGAATAGAAAAGGTTCTGCCGCAATGGTTGCCGCAGACGGACAATTTGACCATCAGCATCTGGTACCGAACCACAGCCTCGACCACACATCGTCACCGAAGATGAAGTCGGAGCCTGGCGTCACCGACGCTGGAGACCAAGCTGTCCTTGCCTATCCCCCTCATGGTCCGCTCAGCCAAGTGCCAACCATGCCACATGATATGCGCTATGCACCCCAGGCACATCCGGCTCCGGGGCTGCCCCTACTGCAGAATCCTTTTGTTCCGGGGGGGTATGCGGGTAGTGCTCAAATACCGAACGCGGGCGCCCCTCAAGGGAGGCCGGATCCTCCTCCGAAGACCTTTCACTGTGGTACTTGCGGCAAAGGATTCGCCCGGCGCAGTGATCTGGCGAGACACGGTAAGCATACCGGATGAGAAGACAGCGAACGAAGGTCTAACGGTATATAGAGCGTATTCACTCCGGTATTAGACCGCATGCTTGTGACTGGCCGGGTTGCGGCAAGCAATTCATTCAGCGCTCGGCTCTGACGGTGCACTCCCGTGTCCATACTGGCGAGAAACCTCATATGTGTGAGAGATGTGGCAAGGTATGCACAGGCTGCGCCCACCCGTTCTTGATCCTTACTAAAGCCTTGCAGCCTTTCAGCGATTCGTCCTCCCTGGCGAGACACCGCAGAATCCACTCCGGCAAGCGTCCCTACAAGTGCCCCTATGCGAACTGCCAGAAGACCTTCACTCGTCGCACCACCCTCACACGCCATCAAAATCACCACACGGGTACCATCGAGGAGGCTGCCGCAGAGACCGAGGCCAATCTGAGACAAAATAAGGAGAGAGCCAGACTGCCTGGTGATATGTTCTCGGAACACGGCTCTGTCCACTCGACGCCTTCTCCGGCACACCACCCTATATCCCCCGTCGGAGACCTCCCTCCGTTGAACATGCCTCGCTCCGATTACTACATGCCGAACGGCTCGATCCCACCCCACGTTCGAGGCGGTTTCACGCAAGCTAGTCCCCGGGCTTCTCCAACGGCTACTTCCCCATCGTTGTCCAGCTATGGTAGCGCACCACACCCCCGTCCCTCTATGACCTCTCATCCGTCCGGCTACGGTCCCCCGCAACCTCTTGAGCCACCTGCCAACAACGACCACCGACCCAACAGCGTTAGTGGAAGCCCGCATATGACCAGTTTGGGGTGGGCTTCTCCGTCGCATGGCAGCATCCCGTCCCCTGGTTCTGCAACCGACTTCTACCCGGAGTCTAGCGGGCCCGCCTACCCGACGTCCATGCCTCCTCACATGTACTTCCCCAACTCGACCATCCGGCGGCCGACGAGCACGGAACCGGACAGCTATGAGCTGAAGCCCAAAATGGGCGAGAGTGCCTGGTCCACTCCGGTCTAGTGATGGATAGCGGATGGACCTCTCCAAAGCGGCAGGGCCGATGTGGGGAGGTTCGCTCTGTTACACCATCTCGCATAATGTCTGATCTCCCATGAATGGAGTCAGGCAATAGCAATATTTCCTTTGTTGATTTCTTTTTCTTTCCTTTGTCACTCTGGTCTGTTTCAGCATCTCATGTTCTACATCATGGCATACATCTATGGATATTCGATATACCGTCATCTTTGCATTTCCCAGTGTGGGTCACCAGCGCTGGAAGGAGTCCGGGCTAGCTGATTTGTCGCGCGCGCAGTTCTGAGTTGTCCGCTGTCCATTTCGTTGTTCCTTTGTGTCTAATGTGAGATACGACCACCAGGACGAAGCATAAATAGAGTGTTGGAAAAGGTGTCATGGCTCGGTCGGAATGGGGTTTGGGAAATCGGGGTCTTGGTTGATTTATGCTATTACCATTATTTGTTCTCCTGTGCATTGTTCTATACCTAATTTCCTTGTTTTGGTCGGTTTCCCTCCCATCCTATTTGTTTTATTTCCTTTGTGTGTGTGCCTCGTTATCACGGCCTATACTCACAGGTGTAGATGACCTGTTATTGTCATGTATGATATAGAACAACCGTTTCCCCCTTATTTTTCATACACTACATACCATCCTACCACCTATGGAGTACGTCTAAATATACAGAGTACATAAACATCCCTGCAAGTAGGCAGTGCACGTTTCAGATCCTTTCCCAACCCCTACCCTACCTCTACCCCTCACGGACTCCCTCCGTAAGCCTTGCAAATCCGTTACAAATCACTCCCTCCCTCAGAATAAATAGATCTTAGATCATCCCCTCCTACGGAGTACTATGTACACTAGTATCTACCTGAAACACCCACTAGCAAGGTTCTACCCGTGTTATGACGTACTTACCCCTACCCGTACTTTTCCCTTCCCGCGAGCGATGAGCGATGAGCTCATTCGTGCCTTATGGGGCCGGGGTGCGGCCTTGCCGCCTTAGGCTGCGATGGAGAGTGATTAGTAAGTTGTGCGGGTGCCTGAGGCGGGCTGGTTGGTGTGCCTTGGGAAAATGGTTTCTGCCGTAGGTTGAACTGCTATTTGTGCCTTGGAAGTTAGGCAGGTAGCGGGTATTGGGTTGGTGTTGATGCCTTGAGGGGGAAGTTGGTTTGTGGTGTATCTTGGGGTTGGTTTGGTATTTTGGGTATGTAATATAAATTAGTTGATCTAGGGAGAGTACTGGTGGTAGATTGAATGTGTGTAGTGGTCCGTAGGTAATGCTTTGCGGTGAGTGATATTGGAGATACGGATCTGTTTGTATTTACAAGGTGTGAGATTACTAGTGTTCAGCCTTGGGTTGGATGCTATTGTCAAGATAGAGGACAGCGTAGAGTAAGAGGGATCATGCTGGTTAGTAAGGATGAGCGAAATGAATACATATGTATTAGGTAGGTATGAATAGAGAAAGTAAAGGTATTATCAAAAAGGCATTCCGGTAGCATTCAATCCTCCCATGCCTGCAACAGGAGCTGGACAGGAACAGACCGGTGCCGGAGAATGGCCTAGAGCACGGGCGAGGGCGGTGGTTATGGTTGTGGAGGCGCCGCCTTCGCGGGCGGAAAGGAGGCCGAAACGGAGGAATACTTCGGAGGTAGTGACGAGGATGGAGATGATAATGAGGACGATGATAATCCAGGTTTGGTCTGTGGTCATGTCAGTTTTGCTCGGAATAAGACGGGGTGGGTGACGTACGAGAGGTTCTGTTGTCGGCTATCGAGTCGGAAAGGATCTCAGCCAGGTCGAGGAAGACACGGCAGCGTTCGTTCAGGACTTGGATTCGGGGCTTGATTTCGAGGTATTCGCGGACGGCAATGTAGAGCGGGTAGAGGGTGGGCTCACTTTCCCAGAAGAAGTTCGGTACGTCGAGCATGTTGGAGGCTGTGGTTGGGTCAGTGAATGAGTTATGTGGTCGCATCAGCAGACTTACAGAGGTTCACTTCGACTCGGCTCTTGAACAGACTGCCCAGAATCCGGAAGACTTCGTCTCGCTTCATGCCCAAGTTACCTGTCATGGCCAATCGGCGGGGAACATCCTTGGCCTCCGCCATCTGACGGGCCATGACTTCCTCGAAGAAGCAGAGCTTGGTACTCTGCGCAATGCCATGACTGATGGCTAGCTTGATCATGTGGTCCCCGCTCCGCAGGGTGATCATGTCGTTGTAAACGCGAGGGCGTGAGATTTCGGTGGAATATTCGAAATGGAACTCCTCCGTTTCAAAGTCCTCCTCCTGCAGAGGCATGGTAGCCAGTGGAATGGGCACGCCCGTTGCGGACGATGTCGCAAACGCCAAATCAGCCAGGAGATCCTTCTCTTGTTTTTCGGTAAAGTTCCAGAACACGACAACTCCGTAGCTGAAGACAAACATTTCCGCCACATTATACGACAGCCGCGACGACGGTGGCGTAGCCGTTGGAGCCGGATGCCCATGATCTTGGCCGTGCTGTTCCCTCGAGTTTGACTCGGCATGGTCTTCCTCAGCCGGTTGATGCATCTCATTATCAGGCTGTCGCGGTGAGCCATGCTCATGACGACCAAACACCGAGTGCTCCTCTGCCTCCGCCATGTAGTCTTCATGATGATCGCGCAATTCATTCCGCTCAATCTCTTCATCAAGAAGCGACTTGCCGCCAGGCTTCTTCACCACCGGACTGCTCCTCAGCCTGTAGCCGTCATGCCCCGGCAGCAACGGCAGATGGTACGCCGTATACAAACAATCATCATAGAGCTTCGTCTTTCCGCCATGTCTCTCCTTAACAAACGAAGCCAACGAACTCATCTTATACGCCTGCGCCGTACAATACGCCGTCACGCGCGCCAGCTTCTCTGCCCGCCTCGCCTTCGGGAGTCGTTCCGCATAACTCTTCGCCTTCTCCGGAGCGATCTTCCTCTTCCTTAGCAACTCTTCCTCCGCCAACAAAGGCGCAATATCATTATCAACGCCAAAGTCCCCGTCCAGTTTCTTCTGCGCCAGCAGCGTCTGTCTCACCGAATCCGGATCCAAGTTCTTATCCTTTGCGATCTTCTGCACAAATTCTTCATCCACCGTCTCCTCGTCCTCTTCCTCGTCTTCCTCCTCGTGCAATTTATCCTCCGCTTCCGGCAGAAGCACCAGCTTCTCACTGACCTTCGTCGTTCGAGGAGGCAGACGCGGCTGAGCTGCAAGTCGTCCCATTGTCGCTGCTGTGCTGACTGCACTGGTTCCTCCACCGGAGGCGCCAGCTCCGCCAGCGCCGATCAAGCCGCCCGCGGCGGAGGCGAGGCGGGATCGAGGACGGGCGCGGACACCCTGGGGAGGAACGCGCTGCTGCATGGAGGGGACGTCGGAGGTATATTGGAGGACATTGTCCACTGTGATGAAGCGGGTTGCGGGGGAACGACGACGACGGGGTTGCGTGGTTTGTTGGTCTCGGGAGTCGGTCACCTGGATGACGATGTTGTTAGATGGGTGTTATCCAGGCTGGGGGGCTGCGGGGGGGGGGTGAAGAGACAGATACTCACCAGGACATGGGGACTCCTTTGACTTGTGCCTCTTCCTCGTGCTGGCGTCATATTGAGAAATTGTTTCTTTTCTTCAGGCCGATAAACAGTAATGATGAGATCAACGGGAATTGATAAGCGACCGCGCCGACAGCAAGGGTCGAGTTGATTAACGTCACCAGCTCTCCGGTCGGTAGAGCACCCAGGCAAAGCTTGCCTTCACCTCACCCACGAAAAGAGTATCGGGATCAATGGGCCGGGATCTGTTATCCTAGCAGCATCGCTGGATCATCGAAACTGAAAAGGAGGCTATCGATTCGAAGAGCACGATAGGGAGAGAAGGGCCATGATTGATAAATTGAGGATCCCAAGCTCTGCTGTCGCCCACCGCCTGGCCAGCCCGGCCGTAAACCCGATTGGGCATGGCGGCGGACCGAGGGAGCCCAAGTATAGTACCGACGCTGCTTACCTCTATTGGGCTGTCACTTGCTTGAGGTGACAGTGAGTGATAGAAGACAAAACTAGGAAGACGTGAGAGGGGTGGAATACACTAGGGAGTATGGCAATGCAGGATTGCCAATCTTTCAACATGGCTGCATATCTATCTCACTTTGGAGTCATCCAGACTGTCTTGACCGGTTATCCTTCAATCTTATCGGAGGTTCTTGACGAATACCAGCACTCATGTATTAGAATTCAAAGTAGTATGCTTGTAAACTAGCATATAAGTGAGACTGAGTCCCTCTGATCACTCTTTCGCTACCCCTCAAATAAAGAATACTCACTTCACTCCCTGTACCCAAGCCCACGAACCAACCTCAAGCCAAATATATATAAACAAACAAAGAACACCAAGCCAACCAAACACCACCACCAACACATCCCAAAAATAACCCTCAAAACCCACCAACAACCTACAAACCACCTTACAATCACATCCCATCCCCAAACCCATCCCCAAGCCCATATCCTACTTTCCTCCGTACACTAGCAGTATCCGACCCAACCCATGACATCACCCGCCCACCGATCCGTCACACCCCAAACGGTAAATACACCGTACTGTAACAAACCCAGTAAATGAATGTCCCGTTCGGGGACAAATCCAATCGGCCAGCCACGTGCCGGTGGGGGACTACACCGAAAGAAGTTTAGCGTGAATGTCCATCAGACAGGTTGATCCGGGGTAAGTCATTGGTTGCTGGCCACTGCTGGGTTTCGGCTTTCGCATGTCGTCGGATCTGACCGGGGTTGAGCTGTGAGGGGTTATCTAGTTATCTATCTATCGTTTTATCTATGTGTTCGTCTGTCTTGGGATTTGGATGGATGGGGTTAACTACGGAGTAGATGGAGGTCTCTTTAAAAAGTCATCATGATAGAGTCTAGTACTTATGGAGCAGAATGGTTTCCCCGGGTAACGTCTGGGGTGGCTGGATGGTCATGCTGTGACCTGTGTGTCTTGAGAAACTTTTTTTTTTCTCCGGGTTCTTTTCTTGGGTCGGGCGGTGGTCATGGCGGGGTATCATTGGGCTGGACCAGGACCTGGCAATAAGCCACATGAGGGGCAGGCGGTTCGTGTCCGGACCGCACTGTGCTGCACTGCCAGTGCTGAGGGTCGGAGGTGGATGGAAAGAATGAAATGCCACAGACGGACTGGGCGCGGGAATGACCTCCGTCGGACCACAGAATTCCTGAGGGCTTGGACGGCTTGGACGGCTTGGAGCCCTCCCGATTAACCCCTCCGGGCGACTAGCTTACTGTAGGAACGGAGACAAGGGAACGGGAATGGTGTGCGAACCTCCTCTCTAATTGGCTTCTAGTTCATGTGCCTCCCCCCGCGGCTGTAGGTATCGAAGACTCCTTGCAGATTCCTTGCTTCCTGCCCTCCATGACAGTCCAGCCTCTAATATATAACCATTCCCATTACATGCATGCAGTTTGTCAAAGCGTTATGAGATGCAGATATGCCAATCAACAAAGGAAATGATAAAGGAAAAAAAAAAAAAAAAAAAAAAAAAAAAAAAAAGAAAGAGAAAGAAGAAAAAAAAAAAGGAAAAAAGCAAGGAAGAAATAAAGAAAGCAAGGAAAAGCGACAGAGAGAAGATAGGGATTAGCGAGTATACACCAAGGAAATCTAGCTGTCGACTGAGATCCAGACATCGTTCTTCCTCCGTCTTGCCTCCACCGTTCGTTACAAAAATATAGGGACTGGCGAAGGAACGTCAGTGCAA